TGATGATGTTTCAGCGTATACACGCTCATAACGTTCTGCAGTGTCATGCTACTGGTTTGCGTGTGATTGTTGAGATGAGATGTCTGCACCTCCACCATCTGCTGTAGCACAGGTGAGCTGCATAACCATCTGGGTGGAGGGTTTATCATCTAGACTTATAAATATGAATATATAAGCAATACTTGTCTAAAATCAGTGGTGCGGACTGAGGTGGGGAAGCAAGAGAGGCTTGGGGAAGGGTGATGGCGACCCCTCGGGAGTCAGCACACTGTACTTTATGCCCGGTCGTTGGGTCTGTCATCACCGAGCACCATGTGCACTTTAGTTGTTTATTTTGTTTTTGTTGTTGTATTGTTTCAGTTGATAGCTTTTTCTTTATCTTTTATTTTTTCATTTCTGAGTCTTATTTTGTTAGATTGTCCCAATTAATGTTTTTGTTTGTTGTTCTTTACCTCTGTACTTAAATGATTATTTGTCACCAATATGTCTGTTTGTACTTGATAATTGCAAAATTCAATAAAATGTGAATGGTAAACCCGGTGAGCTGCATCCACATGCAGATGAAGAGCAGAGCGAGGCAGAGGAGGTAGCTCGTTTACAGTTAATGTAAAGCCCAGGAGTAAACTTTAATGGGCTTGATTTAAAGAATGCATAATGTCTGATTGAAATTCTCAGAAACAGCTCAGGAGCACTGATGGGCTGATTGCTCTGCAGGTTGTGTTTGTGTTTATGTGCTCAGGTTTAGTGAACGGTTCCTTTGGTGAACTTGTATTTCCTCTGAAAATGGAGCCTTTTTGCACATGCTCATAATAATGGCCTTCCAGTGAACAGCCATGAGCGAGTAGGGGAACAACACTGAAGAATTTACCAAGGCTTCTCTGCAACATCATTTTGATTAATGGAGACGCATTACTTACAAGCTCCAATCCAGTCGTGCTGCTGCGTTCTGGATCATCTGCAGAGGTTTGATAGTGCCTGAGACCTGCCAGGAAGGAACCCTGGCCTAAATCCTCGGAAAGACGTTGCAGAGTAGATTGTTGAACAGAGTCCATTTCGATTAGGCGAGACCAGCAGGAGACTCTGTGTCAGTCAGGAAGTCAGACACTCTCTGACAGTCTTCTCGACTTCAGAGTACTATAAAATGTCCGTCTTTATGGAGCGGTAATATCTTAAAGCTTCTGGGGAACTGCTGGAGGGCCCATCCTGCCCAGAGACACATATTTGTTTATATTCAACAGGACCAAGTATTGTATTTGTCCCTGTAGATATGTTGAATATAGATACATATAGGGAGGAATCATTAGAGTTTGTGTGAACGCGTGAACATCGTTCAAAACATCTCATCTATTAGAACACATCCAACATGAGGGAGGATGCAGAGGTTGGATGTACAGATGGTTGTGTTAGTAATGGGGATATTTTAGCAGCTGAGGTTCAGCAGTCAAACACTCGGAGCACTCAGACTCTAATTGTGTTTTTATACGTGACCCAAAGTGTGATTATCCCTGCTCTCCATTTTCATTACACAACCTTCATCACATAAAGCCGCTCGGGTCCCACAGCCTCTCAGAGAGAGAGAGAGACACTAACGAGTGAGCGCTCTGATTTATCGCCTCTCAGTCCGTCCTGAGAGTCACCTCACTAAAAAAGCAGCTTTCAGACCAAACAACAGGAGCTGAGGTAAACAGGAGCCGGTCTGAGGAAGCGTTTACTTATCCTCCACAGAGCGTTACTTAATATCACATTCATCAAGAGGCCAGGATTAATTAAGTGATCCGGATATTACATTTTAATTATGAGCTCCAAAGGTGCTGACAGGATGTTGATGTGTTTAGTTTTAACCTTTGGATAGAGCCCAGCGAGCTGTTTCCCTTCGCCGTGCTAAGCTACGCTAATTATTAAACCATCAGACATCCTGGAGGAGGAGAACCAACCCTGCTTATTTCACCTAAAAATGACCTAATAACAAGTTACAACATGTGCACCGTAATGCTTTTAAAACTGTGGTCCGCGGCCCCCTGTTGGGCCTTCAAGGTACTGCAGGGAGGCTGTGAGATTTCTTTAGCCCTTCTCAGACTGACGTTTTAAGTCGTGATTTTTACGTCCCTGTGGCGTTTCTCCTTCAGCCTGAATGTCACGGAGGAGTAATGGGGGGACGTAGTGATCATTGTCTTAGGAGGTAGTTACAGAGGAGAGATGGGATCAGCTGATCCAGCGGGAGAAAACAGCACCTGTGTTTGTGTGCATGTCTGACTGTGTGTGTATGTGGAGCTCATGTTGTGCTGTGCTCTCTCACACTTTGAAAATGTCAAATTGAAGTCACAGACTGGGACACAAATGTTACACCGTTGTGGAATCAATATGAATGTATTAATGCGAGATGATAGCAGCTACTGATGAATCTGTAATGAATCGTTTACGTTTTTTTATCTCTGATAGTTGTGCTGTGGGAAGTAGAAAGAGGATGTAGTCGGGGAGGAAGAAGACTCTGGTTTCAGTGAAGACAGAAGGTGAAATATTTTTTAGCAGAAAGGGATTTTTGAGTAATTAAAGTAAAATGTTTTTGACGTTTTATGGGTATATTCTCAAAGAATTTTTCCCTTTTGCGAAATAAAAATACAGTTATTACATAATCTTACAACGGATGTCAAGGAAGTGGAATGCGGCCCTCCTTATTGCTCATGTCCAACGAGAGACATTCGCTTTTGAAAACGTTTGTAGTAGCCTAATTGAGATAATTATTGTCATGTTGTGTATTTCTCATTTCTTAGGGAGAGAAGCCTTTTCTTTTGATTAATCTTTTCTCCTGTTTTTCTGTTAGGGAGTTAGGTAAGATACCTGTATTTTATTTTCTTTACTTTGTTTGAGGTAAGATATTTTGTTTTCGACTTAGATGTTTTGTTTATTATTTTGCCGGCGATCTCCCTGAAGTTTAGTTGTTTTTGTGTTTGCTGTTTGTGAATTTGTTGTTTGTGTGATTAATCATTGGGAGTGAGGAAGGAGAGGGTCACTTTAATGATACGGCTGGTTTTCCCTAGTCTGGTCGTAACAGGTCTTTCTCAAGGACACATCAGACATGTGGCTGCAGGAGCTGAAGATCAAACCCCTGACCCTCTGGTTGAGAGATGAACGACTCTACCACTGAGCGCGCGTCAGAGATTGAAACAGTGTGAAACAGAGTTAGGAAAGAACAGGCGGACTGATGTACTTTAAGACAGCATCTGTATAAATCTGAAACTGACAGGAAGTATAAAAAGAGACGGAAAGCAGACACAGACGTCGCTCTGTGGATTCAATCAGAGCTCTCAGGGTGACTGCGTGTTCTGGTTTCAAACCACTCACTGACCAGGAGGAAGCGGTTCCTTCAAAGTAATTTAACGTCTTGGGAAAAAGGTTCCCCAAACAAAGAGTGAATATATTTATTCCTTTGAAGCAAGCTGTCTCAAAGAGGGGAAACTGACTTTAATGAGGAAGCTAAAATGAGAATCTAAGTTAGCAGGTGTCACGTTGTCTAACTTTAAGTCAGCACACAGCAAGAAACACGTCGCTGTGATAAATCAGATGTGAGACCGCCGCTCTGCAGTAATCATGATGGATGTGACAGATTGTGGTGTGTTCACTGACCGCAAGTCGGGACCACAGGATGATTCTGACGGACAGTCAAACTTGACCGGTCTTGATTTAAAATCTGTGGTCCGCCCAGTCTGAGACAAGACTGAGGAAAAATGCTTCTCGATTCCGAGACCAAGACAGAGACCTTCAAAAGGTGGTCTCGAGACCAAGACCGACTACAAGTAGCCTATTACAACACGTATACTATCATACTAAAATATACCGTATTACAGTATCGTCTGAACTTATGTGCAATAATGTAAGGAACTATTTGGTGCAACAGCAACGTTCAACCTTATGGGCACTGTGTGTGTGACAGTATTTATATAACTGAATGTTCAGACTCACATTGCAACAACTGCAGCTCCGCTCTCTTTTTTTTGGCTTTCTTTGCTCTATATGCTGCTGTAACACTGTACACGTAAACACCGTTGGGTTATTATCTCATCTTATTCATTTCTTGGTATCTCCTGACTGTCCGACACTCAGAACATTCCCTTAAAAACTAGGACACAGAAAAGATCTACCTGGTCAGGTGTGCTACTGTAGGTCATTCTGAGGCCTCAGTATTATTCTCAGTCTGTTTTCATAACATGTTAGTCTCAGGGGCGGAACCTTGTTACCGTAAGATTTGTTCCCACCCGGAGCGCCAATAAGAAGCACCGTGCTACTTCCTGTTTGAAACCCTAACAGAGAAGACCCAGAGGAGCTAATCGACTGCAGCATCTTTTGATCAATAAATGTTAAAGTGTTTTAATAACAGATGAATAACAATGATTCCGTACACGGTGAACATCAAACTGGCGGCTCGGACTCTGACCGGAACTCTGAACCTTCAGAATAAAGGCGCAGTGGACTGGTGAGTGATGCAGCTGCGCCGTTAGCATCTTTGATGTAGCTGCTTCATTTAAACACACAGAGGATGTTTACGAGCTCTTCGTTTTGATTCTGTGTGTTTTATGTTCATCATTTAACTTATCCATCGTTATATCCGTGTCCAGGTGCATGTCAGAGGAAATTAAAGCCGTAAACGCAGATTTAATCAACAATAAGCAGCAGCTTCCTGTGTCACGTGATGTGATGTTATGTCATGTGACGTCATGTCATGTTATGTCATGTGATGTGATGTGACGTGACATTCTGCAAGTTAACCTGAAGGCTTTTGCTTCTACATGACCTTCATTGTTTCTAAGCAGGTCACCACATAGTTAAAAGACACGGTTGGTCATTTCCTCCAGATCCACTTTTTAAGATTCTGGTTGAACTTGTCTTTAGGTCCTGACAGAAATAAATAACTCATGTGCTCTGAAAAAGGAACAGAATCCATCATCTGTATCAGTTGTAATCCTGTAAAAACTTTGACCAGTGTCTGCCACGAGGTACCAATCTGATGAACCAATCACGCTGATTTGGCTAAAACGCAGCAGTGAGTGGTGTAGTGCAGGGTATGTCTCCGTAGGGCAGTGGTTCCCAAAGTGCGGGTTGGGACCCCCCGGGGGGTCGCGAGATGCCTCAAAAATAAAAAATACAGATTTCATATGATTTAAAGAAAGAATGAGCGACATGTTCCACATAAATATATCATAAATCCAGTCTATCCTGTGTAAATGTGTCTCTGATTCATGACTGTCTACAATGAGTACGGCGCTTTCCGGGCAGTAAAGCGCTGGCTGTCGATCAGGAGTGTTTGCATGAAGCATTTGTGCGCTGAGAAGAAAAGCACGTCCGTCCTGTCTCCATGACAACAGTCTGTTGACAACGGCCGCTGTATAACCGACACAGCTCCGTTACTTTTTACTGCATGTTTTTTTTATTTTACGTCGTTTATTTCCGGATCAGAGATACGATCTGTAGGAGAATATCAAACATTTGCAAAAGAACGCCGATGAACTCGACAGCGCCTTTCAGAAAAGTTGAAAGATTTTCAACTTGAGCGCTCAGAGCGGCTGCACAAAAAAGGAAGAGCGCTCAGAAAAAAGACGGTGGGCGCTGCACTATTTCTCCAGCCATCTTTTGAAAACAACTGAAAAAAGACGCTTACACTTGCAAAAAGCGCGATGTGGACACGAGGCTGAAAAAGCCAGAGTCCTGCTGGCTGTGTTGAAAAAATCTAATAACGCCTCATTTTTCACCTTTGTTCCTCTCCTCTCCCCATCTCTCGCTCTCTCTCTCTCTGACTCTTATTTTGAAGGGGCTGGCAGGGGCTGATCGCTCAGGGATGTCACTCCAGCATTCTCATCATCGACCCAAAGACGAGTCAGACCATCCAGGTGCTGGAGAGACACAAAGCTAACGTGGTCAAGGTCAGTTTCCACATGAATCTGTTATTGAGTTATTTTAAAGGTCATCATCACGATGCTTATAATCTGAACTTTATTACAAATCTATTAAACTGCAGTCGAGGTCAACCGGCCAAGAAATTATGTTCAAAAGAGCTATCCTGATCCTGTGTCTCTAATCATTTTCACACATACGGAAATCTCCTGAAAATCTCCGGAGATTTGGCTACCCTTTAGACTATGTGTGAACGCAAACAGCCGCATTTTTCGCGCTGACTTTATCCTGAGTTTCTCCGACCAGACCCCTAGTATTTTTTCTGCAGACATTCCAAGTGATCAGCGTGCGGGTCCGACCACAGACGCTCTGCAGAATTAAAAAAAACAACAAAAAAAAAACCGGACATCATCAATTATTGAAACAGCGGCCTGCTCATGGAGTCGTTTGTCTTCCTTTAAACGGAGCGCAGGATGAATCCTTTATTTATCTCATTTCCTCTCTGCAGACCCGTCAGAGTGAAGAGGCATTAATACACAAAGTTTGTAAATAAACAACAACGAGACCTCATCTACAGCTAATGAGAAGATCTGAAGAACCCTAAACCCTATCATCATGTAAATACACGCGGAAAACAAACAAACAAAGCAAATAAACAACCGGAGCCGTGTGAAAAACAAACAATAAGATATTTAAATAATAAGTATTTTATGGCCTGATACAGCGCTGGCCCGATGTCTCATCTGATCGCCACATGCCCTGGTGGACATTCCTCACAGTAAATGAAATCCATCCTCCAGACATGGGAGAGGAGATAGACCCCGCTTCCCTTTGGCTCCTCGCCTTATAGCTTACCATCTTCTCTTAATTTGATCTGTTCTTCTTGTTCTGCTAACAGCATTACTCTCTCTCTCTCCTTTTCTTAAATATTTAGATTTCTGTTTCTTTGCTTCTTCCTCTTTTTCCAGTTAAACACTCACAAGCCTTGTTTAAATACCACTGCCTCCACAATCTCTGCTCCTGTTGTCGTTCACACACTTGTTCTGAGTGAATCACCTGCAAAGCGTCAACCAACCAAAAGTGCAATATGTTGGAATGAATACGACATTTAGATCTCTTAATGTGGGATCTAATCTCAGACCACAGGACTTCTGTTTCTACTTGAATCAAAGTCATGCATCATGAGAACTCTAGTCAGGTCTGGTTGTTTACTGTCTTTACACCGCTGACGTGTGTGTGTGTGTGTGTGTGTGTGTTCCAGGTGAAGTGGTCCAGAGAAAACTACTGCAGACATTCCAAGTGATCTGATGTCTGAACGCGGCAGCATATACTCCGGAGATTTTAACTCGAGCCAATAGAAAGAGAATGACGTTTATATACAGTGACTCCTGAAAGTGTCTGCACGCGACCACTACGATCTGTGTGCACGTAATTTAATGGCTGCATTATGTTTTCTGTTCGTCAGTTTGTTGTTCTCCTCTCTTTTGTGGATGTTGTCATTCCATTGGATTACACATAGCATTGATATAAAGGCAAATATTCTCATTATAACGTTGTGTAGCGAACTCTGTTGCTACTAGAGAGAAGTCTTTAAAGGCAACATGTAATGATTCTTCTATTTAAATTAGCCCAAAAAAGGACATATTAATGGAACCAAGGAGTTGAAAGACGGTGGACTTATAACAGGTGTGTATAAAGGGTTTTATCAAGTAGCCACTTGATGCCTTATCCTGACCGCGTGTCCCTCTCGGAACAAAAACTGCCTTCTCAACTTTTTCTCCCCTTCAACCAAGAACTGTGTTTGAATGACTTTTCATTCATCATAAACACGTGTGATGCTCTCTTGATGTTCAAGAGATGTGTACAGTACATGAGCTGTACTTGTCATGTCATGCTGTTGGAATAAATGAAACTCTTTCTGATTACAGTGTGGAATTTACTTTGATAGATATTTAGAAACAAGACAAATGTCACATTGTGTGCAGTCAAATGGCCACTCTGTTATTGATGGTGGTGTTACTTCTTTGTGTGATGATCCCTTCCAGTTGGGTCTAAAGAGCAAAACAAAGAATATTAACATCATAACCACATCCACGACAGGAACAAGTGCAGGGGAAGATATATTTCTGTGGTATGAAGCCTTGAAACGGCACCTTGAGCTGCAGGTTGGTTCTCTTGAGCAACTGGATCTGTTCCACGTGCTTCTTCTCTTCAATCTGTCGCCTTTCAGTTTCTCGTTTTTTCAATGGCATCACATTGAGACTTGAGTTCGTTCAGTTGCTTCTTCAGCTCCAGTTTCTCATCGTCAAGATCAGTAATCTAGGTATTTGAAGTTTATTCAAATGCAGGATCAACGATGTTAAGACCAAACATTATTTTAGAGGAATGCTGCCCTCTGCTGGATACTAAACCGAATAGCATTCGATAGTTATGCCTTCAGCTTCTGTGGCAAATACGTATATTCTCTATACTATCGATGGATGCCAATATTGGCAAACATTACACATTTGTATGCCATCTATTGTGCTAAACACAACAAAAAAGTGACTGTCCTTACTTTTTCTCCATGTCAACCTTTCCCTGCTCTGACTGAAGGGCTTTCCTCATACCGAAGGCCACCACTGCTTTCATACAGAGTCTGGTAGGCAGCAATAGTCATTTGAATCTCGTCTCTGACCCGCAAGAGCAGCAGGCCACTCTCAGCACAGTTGATGGTCACCTGTCTGATGAGCTCATCTTAAAGAAACAGAAAATGAGTAAATGCAACAGTAACACATTTGAGGAGTAAAATGTGCCTTCAGTGGTATACAAAATGCTTCAGAAGAAAGCTGTATGGCAATGAAATTTAAGCCATGTGTACACAAAAATCTGGTTCAAATTCCTCAATACTTGTCAACACAATAGCCTCAGTGATCACAAATATCAGAGCCTCCTTCTCACCAAAGCACTGAGAATAGAGCTCCCTGCGGACAGGGCAGATTCCTGTCTGTCTGGCCTGCCTTTGTTGCAGCTTTGTGTCCAGCA